GTTTTAAAAGACAAATGTATAAAACTGATTATAAATATATGTTAGTGGGTACACAATGTGTACATAAATAACATAAAGAGGGGGAAGTAGCTGAATAGGAGTAGAGTTTTTCTGTGTGATTGAAGTTAAGTTGGTATCAATTCAAATTAGATTATTGTAACTTTAGGATGTTATATGTAACCCATGATACCACAAAGAAAAAATATATTGAATATACACTAAAGGAAAAGACAAGGGATTCAGAAGATGTCACTACAAAAAAATCTAAAAACAAAAGAAGGCAGTAATAGAGGAAATAATGGACAAAAAGGCAGTAGGAATTACAGAAAAAAAATAGCAAAATGGCAAAAGTCCTTTCTTATCAGTAATTACTTCAAATGTAAATGGATTAAACTGCCCAATCAAGAGGCATAGATTGAAAAAAATGGATCTAAAAATGATCAAATTATATGCTGTCTACAGGAGACTCACTTTAGATCTAAAGACATGAATAGGTTGAAGTGAAAGGGTGGAAAAAAGACATTCCATGCAAATAGTAACCGAAAGGGAGCTGAGGTGGCTATACTAATATCCGACAAAATAGACCTGAAGTCTGAAATTGTTACAGGAGACAAAGAAGGATAATATCTGGTGATAAATGGGGCAAATCTCTGCAAATAGCCAAAACAATCTTGAAAAAGAAGAACAAAGCTGGAAGACTCACACTTCCTGACTTCAAAACTTACTACAGAGTTACAGTAGTCAAAAGAATGTGGTATTGGCATATAGACCAATAGAATAGAGTAGAGACCCCAGAAATAAACTCTCACATAAATGGTCAAATGATTTTTGACAAGGGTACCAAGACTATTCAATGGGTATAGGAGAGTCTTTTAACAAATGGTGGTAGGAAAACTGGATATCCACATGTAAAAGAATGAAGTTGGACATTTATCTTAAACCATATAAAAAAATTAAGTCAAAATGGATCTAAGTCCTAAATGTAAGAGCTGATACTGTAAGAGTCTTACAAGAAAACAAAAGGGAAAAGCTTCTTGACATTGAATTTGGCAATGGTTTCTTAGATGTGACAGCAAAGCACAAGCAAAAGAAAGAAAAAAGATAGATATTGGACTTCATGAAAATTAAGAAAACATATAAATTAAAGGGCACTATCAACAGAGTGAAAAGGCAACCCACAGAATGGGGGAAAATATTTGAAAATTATACATCTGATAAGGAATTAATATCCAGAATATATAAGGAACTCCTAAAACTTAACAAAAACAAACAACCCAATTCAAAAATGGGCCAAGAGCTCAAATAGACATTTCTCCAGAGAAGGTATACAGATGGCCAATAAG